AAATTAATACAAACCATCTCAAAAATCTTGAATATTTATCAAAAAATACTATAAAATAGTCTAACGTCAAATTGTAACCTCCAGTGTTTATAGAGGCGAAGTAGGTGACTCAAGGAAGTAAAGACCCCAGGTGGGGACAGGGGAACAGAAAAAGGGGAAGCCCTCTGCACAGCACCACACCTCAGAGTAGGCATGGCTCCACGTTGCAGATATGATCCTTTAAGAGAAGCCTGAAGCCCAGATTTCTACATGAGTCTCCTTCATTTTAAATATTGACTCAATTTATTGGGGCAAATTAAATGTATTCAGGGGCCACAGTTAGTCTATAGTTCACTTGTTTTATATTTTTCACATTTCCCAGTGGTTGTGTATAAAACAAATCGGTGTATGCAAAAATCTTCCCTTTTTTTAGTATCATATGGTTTACCAAAACACTGGGCCCCAACATGTAATAAAAATTGCTATTAAGATTCATAATACCCAGAAATAGGATCACTCCTACACTGTTGGTGGGACTGCAAATTGGTACAACCACTGTGGAAAGCAGTATGGAGGTTCCTCAAAAGACTAAAAATAGAAATACCGTTTGACCCAGGAATTCCACTCCTGGAAATTTGCCTGAAGAAAACAAAATCCCTGCTTCAAAAACATATATGCACCCCTATGTTTATTGTCACACCGTTTACAATAGCCAAAATGTGGAAGCAACCTAAGCATCCATCAGTAGATGACTGGATAAAGATGTGGTACATATACAATGGAATATTATTTTGCTCTGAAAAGGAAATCCTGCCACTTGCAACAACATGAATGCATCTTGAGGGTATTATGATCAGGGAGATAAGCCAGGTGCAGAAAGACAAATACCATATGATTTCACTTATTTGTGGAATATAAAAAGAAGAAAAAGAAAAAGAACAAAACAGCATTAGACTCACAGACACTGAGAAGCGTCTAGTGGTTACGAAGGGGGAGCAAACTAGGCAGGGATGTTGGAGGGAGGAGGAGGGGTACTATAGAACCATCGTGCTGTACATTTGATAAAAACCAAAAATGATTCATAATACCACCTCAAAGAATTTTTCCAATGCTTATGAAAGCTACAATCTATTTTTATTTAATTCTCCCAGATTGTTAATCAAATGGATAACTAGTTCTTAGGACTGCTGAACCTAAACTATTAAAAAAATTCCCATCTCTTTTGTCACTAACTACATGGATTTCGATATTTAAAATTGCAATTCTAATTATGCCAGGGATCTATGAATTTAACAGACATACTGAGACACTCTATCACACGGCTTCAGCTAAAAAGAAGGTCCATGATTTACTACTATTGCCATCGGAGAACCCTGCTTGTGATAACCAATTTGTTGGCCTAATGACTTTAATGATACCAAAAGATGCAAAATCCTTCAAGGGTTAGCCTGTACTTATTAAGACTATCCAGAAGCAAATTACTAAAGACTCTTTGAGTGCTAGGGAATAACTGATGGCTGGAAGGAAAAATGTGTTTTTTTTAGGCCAACAGATATCACCAGTAATATTCTTTTTAAACTTCTCAGTCACAGAGGTAGGGCCAGATGGAAGTCAGGCTAAAATTGTCAGAAAGGAGAGAGCTGAAGGAAGTAGTAACCTATCAAACTCCAACTCTTCTAGGGATTTCTTAAGTTTGTGAGATCTGCAAATTTATATATTACACTTATCCATTCAGTAGTTGTTAAGCAAGAGCTGTATCAGTACCTCAAGGAAATATTTCCAAATATACATACATATCCAGGCCTTACTGGACTTGGTTTTTTAAAGTTTCCCAGGCAATTCGATTAACCAGCACAACCCTAGCTGAGCACTGGTGCACTGGACAATCACGTCATTCTCATCTCTCACATATGTGGTCAATTCCTGCTATCACTAGAGGATTTTATCAAAGAAAGGAAAGCACAAGAGATGAGTCACTTAGCAAAACTGCATTTAATTTTTCTCGGTGGGGGCAGAACAGGGACTTGTAAGGAAACCCAAAATGTAACTTGATTTCGTTATTCATAAACTCCTCCCTTCCCATCAAGATGTTCTAGATCTGAAGGCAGAGTTTAGCTCCCGTCTACGTGGCTGTTTCTGAGAGAACGGGATATATCAGTTCATTACATCATCTTCCCTCGTTTCCCACCTCATCACCAACTGCTCTCTGCCAGTCTGGTTCCTCAGAGTCCTCCTAATGTTGATCTCTAAGCAAGTTTACAACCCATTCATCCTCTTTCCCAAACAAACAATTATTTTCCCTCAAGGCTGAAGACATCTTGCCTAAACAGAGAAAAGCAAGAAGGACAAAGCAAACACAAAAAACCTCGTCTTGTTCTTTCCCTTCATGTGCCCAAATTCCAAATTGGCCTCCATATTTCTGATTGCACTCTCTCTCCTTTTCCCTTTCCTTTTTGCCTCTGAAACTTTAGCCAGTGAAAGAGGAATCGCTTTTACGTAAGTCAGTTTTTTTAATAAAATAGAAACTCGTCAAGAGTAGCCACAATTTCAGATTATAAAATGCATTTCTTTTGTTTTCTTTTTAGATAAAGCCTATTTCCAAAGCAAACTTGGCTTTCCTGTGTTGCTTGACACCAATTAGAAAAAAACTTGGGTGCGGAAAAAATATTTGAAAGAAAAGCTGTACTTCAGCAAATTCAGTGTTTTCACAAACATCTGCCATGAACGCATGTAACAAAGCTGTACTCTAATGCTTTCTTAGAAGAGCCATTATTTTGAGTGAAATCTTAGTTATTTCAAAATATTTTCAGTCAGGAAATGCTTGATTTTCCAAATACGTAAAATTGACCCTAACTATATTAACCTGTTGGGGCTCCAGCTTGGGAGGTAATGTACATCCAGAAGAAAAAGCAGGTAGATGAGCTTTATCATCACCTGTTCCCTACATACAGCTACAAGCTGGCGAGGAGCTGCACAAGGCTGAGCAGGAGCTACTCTGTGATGTGAGAAACCCTAAGGTGGTACATGGCTGGCAGGGCAGCTGCCAGTACAAGGGAATTGCCCTGCTGATGTCAAGATGTGACCCAAACCCCTCACTGGATCTTCAGAGCCCTGGGGTCCCAGAGTGCCCTGGGCCTGTGGTGTGCCGCTTACTCATCCCACATGCACTCACCCAGCTCCTCTGGCCTGGTACCAGTTCTCCACCTCTCCTCCCACCCATCCCCAGCAGCAGGTTTTTTAAAGTTTCCCAGGCAATTTGATTCACCAGCACAACCCTAGCTGAGCACTGGTGCACTGGACAATCACGTCATTCTCATCTCTCACATATGTGGTCAATTCCTGCTATCACTAGAGGATTTTATCAAAGAAAGGAAAGCACAAGAGATGAGTCACTTAGCAAAACTGCATTTGATTTTTCTCGGTGGGGGCAGAACAGGGACTTGTAAGGAAACCCAAAATGTAACTTGATTTCGTTATTCATAAACTCCTCCCTTCCCATCAAGATGTTCTAGATCTGAAGGCAGAGTTTAGCTCCCGTCTACGTGGCTGTTTCTGAGAGAACGGGATATATCAGTTCATTACATCATCTTCCCTCGTTTCCCACCTCATCACCAACTGCTCCCTGCCAGTCTGGTTCCTCAGAGTCCTCCTAATGTTGATCTCTAAGCAAGTTTACAACCCATTCATCCTCTTTCCCAAACAAACAATTATTTTCCCTCAAGGCTGAAGACATCTTGCCTAAACAGAGAAAAGCAAGAAGGACAAAGCAAACACAAAACACCTCGTCTTGTTCTTTCCCTTCATGTGCCCAAATTCCAAATTGGCCTCCATATTTCTGATTGCACTCTCTCTCCTTTTCCCTTTCCTTTTTGCCTCTGAAACTTTAGCCAGTGAAAGAGGAATGGCTTTTACGTAAGTCAGTTTTTTTAATAAAATAGAAACTCGTCAAGAGTAGCCACAATTTCAGATGATAAAATGCATTTCTTTTGTTTTCTTTTTAGATAAAGCCTATTTCCAAAGCAAACTTGGCTTTCCTGTGTTGCTTGACACCAAGTAGAAAAAAACTTGGGTGCGGAAAAAATATTTGAAAGAAAAGCTGTACTTCAGCAAATTCAGTGTTTTCACAAACATCTGCCATGAACGCATGTAACAAAGCTGTACTCTAATGCTTTCTTAGAAGAGCCATTATTTTGAGTGAAATCTTAGTTATTTTAAAATATTTTCAGTCAGGAAATGCTTGATTTTCCAAATACGTAAAATTGACCCTAACTATATTAACCTGTTGGGGCTCCAGCTTGGGAGGTAATGTACATCCAGAAGAAACAGCAGGCAGATCAGCTTCACCATCACCTGTTCCCTACATGCAGCTATAAGCTGGTGAGGAGCTGCATGAGGCTGAGCAGGAGCTACTTTGTGATATGAAAACCCTAAGGTGGTACATGGCTGGCAGAGCAGCTGCCAGTACAAGGGAATTGCCCTGCTGATGTCAAGATGTGACCCAAACCCCTCACTGGATCTTCAGAGCCCTGGGGTCCCAGAGTGCCCAGGTCCTGTGGTGTGCCGCTTCCACATCCCACATGCACTCACCCAGCTCCTCTGGCCTGGTACCAGTTCTCCACCTCTCCTTCCACCCATCCCCAGCAGCACCCATTTCCTAAGGCTCTGCAGAGCAGTCAGCCTCCACCATCACCTCACAGCCCCTCAGCCTTCAGTCCTTTGTGGGCTCTGAGCCTACCACCCCATCCCAGGCACTCAAGGGAAGGACCTCCTCCTGGGGAAAAAGGGGGCCGGAAACTGTTCTGCCCTCTGTATGGGCAACCTTTCTCTAGCCCTCCCTGACTTGACTTTGGAGGTGTTTCCACGGTGGCAGTGCCCGATGTTGAGTATGCAGTATATGTATGTGTCTACCTATACACACACATACAGATGTATATGTAAAAGAATTTTATATATCTATGGCTACTAAAGAAATTAAAAACATGTTATTCAAATATTTGTAGATAAAGTTAGTGGATGCATACCTCATTGTTCGCCTCGATGTCTGCATTGTGTGAAAGGAGCTGTGCCACTGTTGTTACACACTCACCACAAGCTGCATAGTGTAAAGCACTGTTGCCATAGATGTCACTCACATTGGGATCAGCACCATGGTCTAAAATACGTGCGCAGTCCTCTTGCTGGCATTGCACGGCCTGTAGGTATTACACAAAGAAACACACTGTAAATTCTAGGATTTAAAGGTAGACACTCTACAGGTTTCACCAGTGAGTTATATTTAAATGAGATAAACTGATTTCTCTTCTCAGTTATTACATCAAATACATCTCAGGCTGGCATCGACAGCTCCTACATACCTTGATCAGGGGTGTCCTCTCTAGGTTGTCACGGAGGTTAAGCTCACATTTTCTCTGTAGCAGAACAGTTACCACTTCTGCATGGCCGTTGGCACAGGCCAAATGCAGAGCAGTCCTAGGAAAGTGAGTGGACTTGTTAGGAACAATGCACTCTTCTCAAAACATACAATTATTCATGTAATTGTGAACATTAAAGAGCTAAGTCTTCAAAACAAATCTACTTTTTCTGGAGAAGGTACAATATTTATCAGCCTTATTACTCACCACATTAATGAAAGTGTAGACTATTTGATAGAAAGAGCATGACCTTGGGATTCAGTTCACCTTAGGTTTGAATCTTACACTTTAGTGATCACTTGGCATTTTGGTGCCTCAATTTCCTCATCAACATAATGGAGATAAAAATTAAGTTATCTCATGGGATACTACTGTTATGTTTAAATAAGAATCTATGCTAAATGCTTTAGAACACTTCCTAGCACAAACAGTGGGTCAGCAATTGCTACACTATTGTTATAATTATTACTATTACTACTCCTTTACAAAGATAATCCAATTTAGTAAAATGATGTAATTGTGCCTACTTTACAAAAATGTTTTAATTAGAGCACTGTGTTTGAATCATTTTAAGATTCTCATTCCCTCACATTTTAACATCTCACATTGGAATGCAACTATAATTCATAACGCCTGATAACTAATTGGCAGCATTTAAAAAGTTTCTTATTGGTGCATAAAATAGTACAGCATCAGACAATCCACTGAATTACATTAAATGAAATAATGGTATACACAACAGATCTACTGCAGTTCACATACTTGGATTTAAATAAATTTTAGTTCTTA